ATGTGCACTAGCATTAAAATACCAATTTACTTTTTTAAAAATTAGAAATAAAAAAAAATTTATTCACTGTTCAGCAGCAAATAGAAATCTTATATGTATTATCTGAAAAATTATGAAAGTGCGAGGTTTTTGCTTCATCTATAGCTTTACTTACCTTATAACCAAGACTAGCTGCAAACCGCTGCCCTTGTAAGAAATTGCAAACAAGATCTGTGTCTCCATTGTATATCAGTACTCGACTACCATTGCCTACCGCACTTTTAACTCGTGAATCCATTTCGTTGTAAATTTTATTATAGCTGTCGTAGACCTCATCACTAAAAATATCTCTTCCTTAAATAAGCCGTCTACCCAATTTTTTTTCTCAGCAAGGAAGTTTCCATGACCATTTTGTCACCTGCAGTCTGCCCAAGCAATAACATTAGAAGGTATAAACAGCGCTTTCCGGACTTCCGGTTTATTCAGATATATTGTTTCTCTGCCTTCATCAAGACATAATGTATTTGAACGCTAAAATAATTCCACCTTAGTATTACCAATTGATATAAAACTTTTTTTTTGGCTTTTTGAAACCTTTATAACCACCCCTCAATTATTATTAAAGCGTACACTGTCTGGAAGTCTTCTTTTAATCTTCCTCAGTAGATCAATTTTGGCTTTGCTCAGAGCCAAGTATGATTTTAGTTTCAAACTGCCTTCGTGGTAGCAAGTGCCATAAATGTCATAAGGATTTATTCCAGAAATCCTGAAAAAAAAAACCATCAGTTTCTGGTAGAATGAGAGCTTTTAGCTTATGCTAATTTCAAACATAGTGAAAACATTCACAAATAAAGTTGAGAAATCATTTCACCTAAATAATTATCTTCTGGACTTTAGTAATCAATTTAAATCTTCATTTTTTTTTTCTGAATTACTATTTAAACAAAATGCTTCTCGATTTTCTATTAAAAAAGAAGTTTAAAATTCTGTACTTCCACTTCTGGAACTCTTAGTGAGAAAAATTACAATATTTTCAAATAAACAAAGCTTATTTAGAAACGATTGCTGAGAAGTAACAATAAAAATTATTCACCAGAAATTCTGGATTGCTTCTTGCACAAAAGCAGCACAAAACGTCCAGCCACTGAAGGAAGAAAAGTCACAGCCATCAATTTTTCCATTACAACATTCAGTGTTTACTTGTTGCCAAGTCCTGAACGAGTAAAGCTATTGTTTTAAAAGTTGCCAGTACGACCATCTGCTACAAAAACTAAACATTTCAAGATCTTATCTGTTAAAAAACCTTATGCGTTCTTATCCAGTGAACACTAAACTTGAGAAGCTACGAAATTTCATCTGAAACTAACATTTCATCGATCATTCCATGATTGTAACCATACTGTATCATAGTATTCGTGTTTATTTTTTCACTGACGCATCCATTCCCAATTAATAATCCCTAAAAAACTGTGATTCAAATAAAGGTAACAGTAAGTAGTATAAAGAGGTTGAATCATTTTTCAAATATACGAACTTTACTGTAACATCTAAACCAATACCCCTCTTGATTTTCTCACTCTATTGATTAAAGTGTAGCATTGAAATGATACCTTTAAATTTATATTGAAATTTTTTTGCCCGCTATGAACTGCTTCAGCTAATGTTGGAACATAAATGCCGCCGTAAGATTCACCGGCAATGTAAAAATCATTTTTCTGTAAAAAAAAGTACACATCTGCGTTTTCTTTTTTTTTTAATATTGCTAAAGACCTTAAACAGAAACAAATTAAAACTAATGCGTTTTTGTGATTAACAATTAAAACTGGCTCGAAACTGTGGAAACGCCGTAAAGAATTCTTTCAGTGCACTCCAGTTATCAGATGCAACTTTTGCGTCATCAGTCTCCAGTTTTCCGTCATCGGTATAAGAAAACCTAAGTTTAACAACATTTATCAGGTAGATAATTAAATGTGAATCGTTTTTATGATTAAAGACCGTTGATAAGCGTTTAATTAGTGATATCATCGCCAAAAAATTGCTGTTTTTAATTTTAAAAAATATGTATTTTTTCAATCATCGTTTTATAAACAATTAAATTGTTTCCACGCTTAAAAAATTGCAAAATCAAAAAATTCAACTGATTAATTACAAGCCCTATTACCACATTAACACTGTAATGACTATAAAATCCAAAAAAAACTTTAAAAACAGATTAAAAAGTGTACTATTGTGCAACGAATTTTGTCGTTATTACCCGACTCCCACTGGTGATTCCAGTGTTAAAACATTGGCTATTCTGTTCCAGGAATAAGGATTATTCACAAGGCTTTGACCGTCCGGCTGAACTGTGAATGGACCATTTTCAGTCAGCAGCGCTGAGAGCCCTGAGCACCCAGGCCCTCCAGTAAGCCACACAATAACTGGATCTGTTAATGGATTACGTTGGGATTCAACAAACCTAGAATTTCATAAATAATTTCACACGCATTCTGCAAAGCAACGCTTATATATATATATATATA